ATTGCGCTTACAAACGAGGCGGCGAAAATGGAGCATCAAAATTAAGATGAGAAACAATAAGTGCACTTTACTTTTTCCAAAAGTCAGGATTTAGAAGGAGTTTCCGTTGTGTGGCTTCGTACCATTGTTGAATTGTCGAAAGAGGAACGAGCGGCTGCGACGATCCCGGTATATCCACAGCACACCCAGAAGCGAAATTGTATAAATTCTCAGCAGCAAACTGGGTGAACCGCATTGCGCCCTCTTTTGCGTCTTGACTTGCCACGTTATTTACGGCAGGGGTCTGGGTCACTAACTCGCTTAGCGGCTCGATGGATATTCCCAATTGCGCCATGACAGAGGCGCTTGGAGTCATAAGGGACAAATCTCCAAATGGACTTGATACTATGCTTTCGGCTTCTGTTACGTAAATTGACTGTGCAAAATGTACATACTTGGTTTGAGACCGGACACCTTGTAAATTGCACTGGGCCGCTCGTTTAATAAAAATCCGAGATAGTACCAAGAAGTGACCCCATTATCGATAAAGCCAAAGTGAACTTTACACCGTTAGGCCAATTAACAAATACCTGCAGCACCATAGCCCTCAGGTAGTGGTGTCTGTCCGGTAAGAAATACGACCAGGTGATTACTGCTCTCCAGACATGGCAGGTTAAATAAAAACTTCCCTTCGGCAACTATCGCAAAATCGGTTATGACCTAGGGAAGTCGTTATGTACACGGCAAGACCAACGGGTTTCCCAGTAACTAAAGCTGCAAACATCGCGGGAGACCGCTGCCAAATGGAAGACAAGCCAACCACTCCCCGGCCGGCGTTTTAAACTAGCCACAATTGAGATTCCTAGCTGTTAGTGTAATTAAAGAATTTATTTTGCGAATTGTAACGTTAGGGTTCGAGGATTTAACCAATGAGTGTCCTTAACAGTATACTATATTACGTGATAAAATCAACACCTGCAGAAACTGAATAAACCATCAGAGAGAAGAAAATGTGCTCGAGAGCAGCATGAACGGTGCTCAAATTGAAGGGGGTGGTCTCCAAATCGTTGCTCAAATAATTTGTCAACGTCACGGCATAAAAAACTAAGAATTTCTGGATTTTTCGATTTCTTCAAGCGATTAAGTGGGTACTAAAATGACCCCAGCATTATAGTGCCCATCTTTTTCGAGCAGCTTTCTCCAGCTCGACTCCGAGGAAGGACTATCGGGAATTTAGGAGATCCTCTTGAAATTATCTTCTCTGCCTCGTGTCCTCCGGGAACCTAGATGCTGTAGGTCCTTCTCCTATCTTTGTGCCTTTCTGTCAGATACGGTGTTTGTGTAAAGCCTACGCACTTTTGCTTTCGGCGAACTGGTCCGAACACACATTTCCGGTA